TCTAGGTCGCCTGAGCCACTGAGTCCGCTAGGCAGCGGGCCGTGAGCCAGATCGGGTTCGTCGCGGAGTAGAAGATATGCTTTGATGGCAGAGAGAGCCATTCTGGTGTAGAAGGGATGTTCGCGTAAACGATCCTCCCACCGTACCATATCAACGTACGCCCTGATCATGCCCTTGCGAAGAGAAAAGCTATGGAAGTCAAACTGATCTTCCTGCCAAACATCGAAGATGTTGTTCACTCCATGGAAGCGCTTCAAAGCAAGGCCAAGTTTCTTCTGTCGTAGATATGACTCGCCATCCTCGGTAAGATACCAGACACACTGCATCTCGTGAAGATCGCCCAATGCTCCTCCGACGGTCTCATTCCTGGTGAATTTGCTCATATTGTCAAGTGCCTTTTCGTTGTCGTTATTCCGCAGTTGATACTTGGCCGCTTTCGAGTTGATATAGCGGTCCTTCTCATCCAGAAGTCGGGCCTTCTCCATCTCTTCGGCAGCCTTTTGAGGGTTGCCGCGGTGCTTCCATATCCTGGCCTTCGTCATCTGGTATTCAACCGCCTTGGGGGCCAGTTCGATGGCCTTGTCGACGCTCTCCATGGCCTTCGATAAATTGCGACTAAGGTGGTAGTTGTAGTGCTGAGCAAGGAAGTAGTAAGTCGAAGCGAGGAAGTCAGTGTTATCCTTAGTTGCCTGCCCTTCCGCGGAGCCGTTGGATTGTGTCGTCCCATTACCAGAGACATAGCTTTCCACAAGCTCCTGCACCGTGTCGCGTTTGCTAGGGTTGGTGTACAGAGATTTGATGTTTGCAAAGAGTGATGGTACGCCCTTCTTGAGCATGCGCTGCAGGTATGCATCCGCCGCTTGCTTAAACTCGTCGCCTTCCAAGAAGTCCAGTGGAATTCTGCGAGGAGCGTCTCCTCGAGGGTACTTGTCCGCCCAAGCGTCATATACTGCCTTTAGCGCCGCATGATCGCTTTCTGAGATCCCCTTCGCCCTGATCAGACCGTCATAGTAGATCGAGTTCTCCGGGTTCCGCTCAAGAAGAGCAGTGTAGGCTGCCTCGGCCTCTGCCTTTCGGTCCAATCGCAAAAGGTAGTCTGCCTTCATTTCCATGACCGCGAGCACATCCGTAATTCTGTATCCGATAGTCTCAAGGTGTTCCAAGGCCTGTTCGACCTTGCCTGCTTCCGCCATGATCATGTTCTTGTACAGAACAGCCTCTGAGTGCTCCATGTCGGATACCGGCGGCGGTTGTTTGAGCGTCTCCTCATATGTGGTCAAAACCTTCTCCGCCTCCTCGAGGTCACCCGCAAGATGGTGTGCAATCGCCAGAGCCGTCCAGTTCTGCCGGAAACCGGGACGGGCTTGCAGCATCGCACTCCTGCTTTGAACGTAACCCTGGTAATCCCGCATTTGCATCTGGAGCAAAGCGAGGTCGCGCTGGATGGGCTGCGACTCCGGCTCAATCCTCAATGCAAATCTGTATGCCTTAATTGCCTCCTCATAGTTCTTCTCTGCTCGGTACAGCAGCCCATAGACATGCCAGCAAATGTGCGACTTCATGTCATTCCGTAGGGCTTCCTTGGCCAACGCGAATGCCTCCTCTTGTTGTCCGAGATTGCTCATAATCAAAGCCTTCATCGCCTGTGTATCGCCATGGTTAGGGGTTTTTCGAAGGATCTGGTCGGCGAGCTTAATGCCTAAACAAGACGCAATGGAGTCAGTCTTCTCGAGTCCACCTTTCCGGAAACTTTGAGTGACTCAATCCGGTCACCCAACCCACCCTTTTTATATTGCTTGTTCTCATAGTGGCGAACCACCTGTCGGAATGAGGACGCATCCTTGGAGCTCAAAGGCTGCGGCATGGTGGCTGTTGTGCAAGGTTGGCGGAGTTGAAGGTGCCAAGTTACTTGTGCGTAGATAAAGCTGGTGGATGTTGTGCGGGGAGTGGGCTCTTTTTCCCTCCCGGAACAATGACGAGCACTAATATTATTCAAAGCCTCCGAACAATATCAGCGTCGACTTTACCGCAGTCCATTTACTTAATCGAAGACAATGGATAATCTTCTCTTTCCTGCTTGATTCTTCGTAACACAATGGATGCTTTGCCTGTACGATCCTCCCTCTCCAGCTGCATTCGCCCTCAATCAACCAAAATAATTATCCGAGACGACGCTTGCGTGCATATGCAGCACAGGGAATCCTCTACGAATTGAAATCCGTTGTCGTCCTACCGTACCTTTGTTCTCTTTGGGTATATGCCTGGGTTTATGGTTATTTGACATGTTGAGATTGTCATTAATGGCACTGAGATGGCTTGTGTCTTAATATCAAACGCCTTAGATATGCGACTATAATACAGAATTATACATCAAGAGATATCAAGTCTAGGATCATATCAACACCAGCTAAGCCAACAGAATATAAGATGGGGGAGTATCCTTCATGTTTTTCGGCACAAGAATAGTGTCGGTGGTCTCTGTTGGCGCTGTGCACAGCCTTCACCGTTGCTTTCTCTGGCGCCAACTGTTCAAAGCCTCCTCCCAAGTCGAAGCCGAGTCATTGCACCTCTCAGTAACCAAGCTCCAAGTTCGCGCCCGTATGATCTCTTCCACTGTTCGCTGATTCCGAACCAAGTTCGCAAGCGACTCTGTTCTCAGCTCTTTCGGAAAATATCGAGCAGAATAAGGGTCCAATCTTTCATCGACGATCTTTTCCCGTTCCTTTGCCGACTCTGCCTGTCGAAGAATAAGATCCGGATCGTCGGGATCGGGACTGGTCGCGACCCCAGCGCAAAAGTTCAGCACATCAGATCGCGTTTGCCATGACTGGAAGAGGACATTGTCCTTGAAGTTCCGGCATGCTTCGGGATCTATCGGCCTTCCGGCTTTGGAGTCTGTTTGACGGATTGCAGTTGATGAGGGATCAAACCCCTCCTGGGCCGGGGTGATCAGGGCATTGAGATTCTGCGAAATGGAGTCATCAATGGTCGCCCTAGAAAGCCGCAAAAAATCTGTTCGATTCAGAAAGACGGAGTCAGCGATGTTATCATGCTGGAGTTTGAGCGATCGTGAGCTGAGCGTGAAGTACCTAAAAGCACCCTCTCATTGAAGCAGAATTGAGGACTCAACCGTGGGGCTGATGTCGATGATGGCCCAGACATTTCGCCAGTCCTAGACGGTGCCGGTCCACCGTCTTTTCCAGAGGTAGAAAGAGCCCAGAACCACTCCAGTTTGTAGGGCTAGAACTGCAGAGCTATGGAAGCAAGTTGCAGGTTGACTTGTAGAGCAGCACAAGAGCGGGATATCGGAACAACGATCAGCCTCTTGATTCAACTAGTCCTCAAGCATACAAACACGTGAGGATCTTCCAAGTTGGATAATGTCGCAGACCGAACTCTCTTTAATCCAACAATCGTAAGGATGAGTCTGAATGTTGAAGTGCTGCGGCGAATCCAACGAACTGACGCTCTTATCGATAGTGGCTAATCCCAATTGAGTAGGGAGCTATTGATCACGGGACTTCGTGACCTTCGACGCGTCTCTCACAACACCTGCGTGTCCACATAAGCTGATGTTTCTCATTGTAATCTTTGCTAGACCTCCAGTATCGTTGCCATTCACCTAGACTAATAATTCTGCATATAAATCAACAGGCGTGTTCGTTAGGGTTTCTTCAGCTGCCATGCCTGAATTAGCTGAAATCTCGCGCATCGTTCACTTTATCGGTCAACATCTTGTTGGGAAGACTCTCACAAAGGTTTCTGCTCAGAACGATGATATTGTCTACGGGAAAGTTGGGACCAGCGCCTCTGAATTTCAAAAAGCCATGGAAGGGAAAAAGGTCGTCAGCGCAGGTCAACAAGGAAAGTATTTCTGGCTTATCATGAACGAACCTCCTCATGCAGTGATGCATTTCGGAATGGCAGGCTGGCTCAAGATCCGCAACGCCGATACATACTACTACCGCACTGAGAAACCTGAAGATAAAGAATGGCCACCGAAATATTGGAAGTTCCTGCTGGAGACAGACGGAGACCCGAAAACCGAGGCAGCTTTCGTTGACTTTCGCAGATTAAGTCGAATCCGACTCGTGGATTGTCCTGCAGATGAAATCCGCAAACACAGTCCGCTCAAAGAGAACGGTCCGGACCCGGTGGCGGATAAAGACCTCATCACGGAAGAGTGGCTGGCAGACAAGCTCAGGAGCAAAAAGGTTCCTATTAAGGCCCTTCTCCTGGATCAGGCGAACATCAGTGGGATTGGTAATTGGATGGGGTAGGGCTATACAGCTATGCATGCCGCCGCTTTGATGAGCCTGAAGAGCTGACAGCTGTTCAGTGACGAGATCTTATATCATGCCAAGATACACCCGGAGCAATATAGCAATACTATCGAGGATGAGCAGATCAAACAGCTTCACTCTTCCATCCATTATGTTTGCACGACGTCAATAGATGTGCTCGCTGATTCCGAGAAATTTCCTGAACATTGGCTGTTCAAGCATCGATGGGGGAAGGGAAAGAAGAACCAGCCATCGGTCTTGCCAAATGGTGAAAAGATTGTTTTTCTGACAGTCGGTGGTAGAACGAGCGCAGTTGTGCCAAGTATTCAAAAGAAAACGGGCCCTGTTGCTAAAGATTTTGGCGACGAGGACGCCAATGGCTCGAAGAGTGAGACCAAGCGAAAACGAGTAACGGCTGTGAAAAAGGAGAAGGATGTGAATGACGATGAGAAGGAGCCCAAATCGAAGAAACACGGATCGAATCAGCGAGGTATCCGGCCCAGAGAATCTGAGGATGCAGTGGACATCAAGGCGGAATCGAAGCCGGAGGGAAGGCGACGATCAACACGCCTCAGAAAATGAAGACCTTTGTTCTAGAGGCATAGGTATGAACTTATAGCGACTCAGTTCCATGCGTCTTCATATACATATCTTGAACATATTGACTTTAAATATGGGCCACAAGAAACACAAAACGGAAATATCCCCAGTATCTCATCACAACTTCACTCCATCAAGACATTCTCGAAAAATTTCCAAATTCCCTGTTTTATTACCTGTATCCACAATAGCGAATACAATCGCTTCAAACCATCCTTTGAATTCCTTCTCCTCCATGACTTCCAACCAACAATCCGCGACGTCGTGTTTGGGATGCCTGAACATGCCACAACCCAAGGCGCCCAAAACGAGCCTCCGATGGCCGTGGGTTGCGGCAATGCGCAGGACAAGGCGCATCTTATCCTTCATCAAATCTCGATCCTCCTCGTTCGCATACCGCTGTTCCGTGGAATTATCATCAATCACGACAGCCGGCTTAAACTGTGCCGCCATGCTGACAACACTGACTATAGGAAGCCACTCAGGCTTTCCCAAGTCCATCCAGCGATGCCGTTTTCCCGTATCTTCCCGAAAAACAACGACGGTCGGTGAATAGATAACACCAAGTTTATTCATGGGATAGAACTTCTCTTTGAGAGTGAAGCTGAGGCTACTGCGGAAACAGAGCTCCTCTTCTTGAGCCATTGATCCATGTTCCCAACCCCCTCCGACAGTCCCCGCGTTCGCCATATTCAAGACGCAGACAGGTTTGGTATCCTTATGATCGAGGAACTGGGCGGCATTGGCAAGGTTGAACGCGGTGTTGAAGGTGTCTCCTTCCACAACCTTGACCAATGTGCGGACCTTGGGGCAGTTATCCTGATCCAACTGGGGCAATCCATCGAGTAAATAGTAATGCCCATCGGGCGGAGCCTGAGGCGTCACCGTCAATATCGTCGGAATGATGCTCTTTGTTTCTTGGGCGACTTTTATCAGGCGCGCTGTCCTCGCTTCTCTGTCTTCTTCCTCGCCTTGATCGGTTTTCTGTATCTTTGCGGCCCGTTGGTCTTCTTGCCGGTCATTCGAGTCATCTGCGCCGGAAGCTTCAGGCCTCTCCTCTTCGACTTCTGCGCGCCGTTTCTGTTTTCCCTTGGCAGTTGCTGGCTGCTTAGAGCCACCGGCTGATGCACCAGCCATGATTCGTGGTGGAATTAAAATACGCAAGGGGAGAGGAGGGTAGTCGGAAAGTTAGAAAACTAGGTGTTATGGATTCTGAGACTTTCTCCTAAGCTATATATGTCTATTACCCTCGCTGTCCTTATCGAATTCCAAGCCAGTTACCCCAGGCAAAGAGCAACGCAAACCTGCTTCTCCTGTTGGAGCCTGAGGTTACTCCAGACAAAGAAACGGCAGAACCGCCGGAACGAGGAGCATAAACAGGCGGAATCTTCTTTGAGCACGTCGGGCGGTGAGCTTATCGGCGCCGATTGCGGGGTGGAGCAGCAAATCAAGGGTCGCCACTTTCGGCTGCCATGACAAAGCGGAAGATTGCCTTTACTAAACAGCCTACTTTTTCATCCAAGAGACTTGGGTTTGTCGCTTCTTTTCTTTATCTTCTGAAAGAGCGCTTCTCTGGTCGAGCTGTTCACCAGCCCCTCCCTACCGTTTTCTTTGTCGCTATTTTCGTCGGTTTGCATCCACAATAAAGAACACAGGCTCGAAGAACGCTACGAGATCCATACTACTTTGGTGGCGCTCTTCGTCCTTATCGCATAGCGGGGAGCTCGACCACAAGTCCCTGTCACGATGAGTGCAATCCTTTCTGCAGACGATTTGAACGATTTTATCTCTCCCGGGGTTGCTTGCATCAAGCCCGTTGAGACACTACCACAGAAAGAATCTCAGTCGGAGGTATGTTTGCTATTCTTACCAATCATCTGCCGTTGTCAGCCAATGGGCTAACACTGATTTCCAATTTTATAGAATCCCTATGAAGTGACAAAGGAAGACAAAGTTCAACCGGAAAACCTTCCCCCAGCTCAGATTTCATTGACCGACTGCCTTGCATGCTCCGGATGTGTCACATCCGCGGAAGCAGTGTTGATATCCTTGCAATCACATACAGAGGTTCTCAATACTCTTGAATCGTACCCTGAATTGCCGTTGAGTCTTGGAAGCGATCAAAGAGCTACACAAAATGTGGGAACAGCAGACAGCGATAGTCGCATCTTTGTTGCTAGCGTCAGTCCTCAAGTCAGGGCAAGCTTGGCAGCCACATACGGAATCACCGAGCGGGAGGCAAAATATATGATTGATCAATTTCTTATTGGCCCTCATGGTCTCAGAGCCGGTGGAAAACATCGCAATGGGTTTACATGGGTTGTGGACACGAACATCATGCGTGAAGCAGTGTTGGCTCTGACAGCGGACGAGGTTACCAGCTCTTTATCATCAAACGAAACGGGCAGCCTTCCCAAGCGACCAATCCTTTCGTCCGCTTGCCCCGGCTGGATATGTTATGCTGAAAAAACACATCCTTTCATCCTTCCTCATTTATCTCGCCTCAAGTCTCCTCAGGCTTTGACCGGCACATTTCTGAAGTCAGCGCTAAGTAAGGCGTTCGGGGTCTCACCTTCTCAGATATGGCATTTAGCTATCATGCCATGCTTCGACAAGAAGCTCGAGGCAAGCCGGGAAGAGCTTACCGACATCGCATGGGCCTCAGCCTCCGCTGAGTCACAGACAACACCCGTCCGTGACGTTGACTGTGTCATAACCACCCGTGAGCTGCTAACCTTAGCTTCTGCTAGGGGGCTTTCTCTACCCAGTTTGCCACTCAAAGCGTTGCCCGCGTCGTGTTCCGCGCCGTTTCCAGACCAAGCCTTAGACTCATTCTTGTTCTCTAAGAGCTCGTCAGGTCAAACAGTCGAATCGGGGACATCTGGAGGCTATCTTCATCACGTCCTCAAAATCTTCCAGGCCAGAAACCCCGGCAGCAAGATTGTCACACAGCGTGGGCGCAATGCCGATGTTGTGGAATATGTGCTCATGTCGTCTGGGGACGAGCCTCTTTTGAAGACGGCTCGGTATTATGGCTTCAGGAATATACAAAACCTTGTCAGGAAGCTTAAACCTGCACGCGTGTCGAGGCTTCCAGGTGCCAAGCCGCCAGCAGTTTCTTCAAGTGCAAGTCGACGACAAGCCATGTCAAGGAACGCGACCCCAGCTGGACCAGGTACTGATTATGCATATGTTGAAGTCATGGCTTGTCCTGGCGGCTGTACCAATGGGGGTGGGCAAATAAGAATTGAAGATGCCAGGGAGGCTACTCCGAGCACATTAAAAGAGACTTTGACTGAAGCTCCTGTGGCTGCGTCGAAAGCCACGCCGCATGAGCAGCGAGCCTGGCTTGCCCGGGTAGATGAGGCGTATTACTCTGCGGACTCTGATAGCGAGGGATCTGTCGCGACCGAGCCGGTTTCTGTCCTGTCGAGGGATACCGAGATTCATGAGTTCTTGAAGTATTGGTCACAGAAGGTGGATACACCCCTTTCTCAGCTGGTATACACGTCCTATCGCGAAGTGGAGAGTGACGTGGGTAAGACGCAGAATGCACCCAACGATACTGCTCGTGTTGTTGAGTTGGCAGGAAAGATCGGAGGCGGTTGGTGATACCGCACTCGCTTTCTGGTTTGGTCCGAGAACATTGCATATATCATTTATACCCTTCAATTTGCTGTTGAGGCGAGCGCTTTTTTGCATGGCTGGTTGCATGCTACGCATATGGAGAGATACCCTTTCATTATAGATTTCTCATTTTGAGGTTTGTTGGGCATTTGAGAGGATTTATCAGTCATGAAATAGCTATAGGAAGTTCCATAGACGTATAGATCGGGATAAAGCATGCCACCATAGCTTTCTTATACTAGACCATGGACCAAACTCTTGAATTTAATATGCCGAGTGCAGACAACATAATAATGAGGAAACATGTGGTACCCTGAGGCACACATTTGCTAGTCCCGAATCGGCTAGCTTCTTTTCCTCCGAACCTTCCATCGGGATGACAAAGCAGCCTAGAGCATTAAGAGAAAAAGTGCTCTAGTTATCCCAACTCTGGACTCCCTCAAACTCGCCTTCAATCACTCTACATCCCAAGTTACACTCGAGCGATATCTTCGCCAGCGCTATTGTGCATTATTATTTGACCCGCGAACAAACCGCCTCCGATCACCATGTCCCGCGAAGCTTATCAGGTCCCCTCGCTCGGCGCCCAGAATGCCTTTGGCACCGAGGGTATGAGCGCTGGCTCGATGGATGGGCCTATCGTCGCCTATCTTTGCGGCGAATGCAATGCGCGCGTCTCACTCAAGAGAGGCGATCAGATCCGTTGCAAGGATTGCGGTCACCGTGTGCTCTACAAGGAGAGGACGAAGAGGTGAGCCTTTTACTTCTTACCCGATTTCAAGATCTCTCCGTGAGCGGATGCTTGATTTCTGCCCTTGCTATGAACGGTTGCTAATTGCCCTTTTCTCGAGTAGAATGGTCCAGTTCGAAGCTCGTTAAAGTACTCTGCACGATGAAGTGTTTCGAGCAAAGATTTGCGGGGCCTCGGCCCGTTTTCGTCCTCTTTACGACAGTGATGTGCATTCTGTGGCGCTTTGGAGTTGGTTATTTTGAAGTTGAAAACTGCGGGCATGCCTGGCGTCTGCAAAGGCAGCGTTGAGGACGATAGCCAGCAGATATGTTTGGCAACATCCCTCTATCATGGTCATAAATCCTTTCAGTGTCCAACCTGAATCAATGCTAAAATATACCCCGTTCTGATGGTGTTGAATTTCCATCACATGGATATGCTCTTTGAGCATTTCGCGAGTCTTCCAATATTTCGCAGCCCCATATATACCAATATATAATCTCTATCCAACTTGAGCAGTCCTAGCCAATAATATAAAAAAAAAAGAAGAAGAAGAAGAAGAAGAAACCCCGAAATGGAAAGCATGAGGCATCACACATAACCCTGCGTCATCAATGGATCGTTTCGCTAAAGTCTGTTTGTGACTTCGATGAACTGTTCCAGACATTTAAGTGCCGAACCGCTTTCGACAGCCCATCTTGCTCGTCTGATACCCTCCTTCCAGCGACCTCCGCCCGGACCACGTTCGGTGATCACCTTGCCATCGTCACCAGGGCCCATGTTACTGGTTTCGGCTTCACAAATACCCGAAATCACCAGGAGGGCGGCAACATTCATCAAGACGAATGTAAGGATGGGATCGTCTGGAGCTAGCTCGTTTCGCAGAATACTCATGATCTTGGCTGCGTTTTCTTTCGGCATCTTTCTACCGTAGACTGCGGTTAGAGGGTGGGTAGGCAGGCCGAAATCAGATGGGTGAAGCTGGAAGGTTTCTATCTTGACCAGAGTCCGAGGAACATCTTCATTCTCGTCGCAGGAACACTCCTCACGGGAGCCATCGTAGGCAGGATTGGGGTATTCCGTAAGTTTCCAGCAATTTGTTGGACCCGCGCAACTGATTTCATCCATGTCCTCCGCACCGCAGACAACAAGGGCCTTCTTCGCCCCACCGGTGCGCAAGGCTTCTGCGAACACAGGTCCCAGGCTCTGATAAGCCACACCAACCACTCTCGCTTCCAGCGCCCAGTCGACGGGGTTTGCCAATGGACCCATTAGATTGAAGATAGTTCGCAAGCCCAAGCCCCGTCGCACTGGATTAGCGTACATCATACCAGGGTGGAAATTGGGGGCGAACAGGAACGCATAGCTCGTCGCTTCGTAGACTTCGGCAAGGTTGTCGGCAGTAACTGCGGAGATCTTCGGGGGAACTGGGGGGATCGCGTTTAGGACATCAGCAGAGCCAGAGAATGAAGTTTGCGCGCGGTTGCCGTGCTTGGCCATCATGAGGAGCGGCGACGCGATGATAGAGGCAGTCGTCGAAATGTTGAACGTAGAATGTGAATCACCACCGGTCCCAACAATATCACACTGGAACAAAATGCCAGATTAGCAAGGCAGTCAAGCTATCGGTAGGGTTCGATTCACTCACCAGGCCGCCCTCATAGTTTCCTTCCTTCTTTCCGCGGGCCTTGATGGCCTTCTGCAAAGAGCTCTTCTCGATTTGGCGAGCTGCCTCTCTCATACGAAGCGAACATAATGCAATGACCTGCGCATCTCGGTC